CCACCATGGACTGTAGCCTGCCAGACTCCTCTGTCCATGGAATTCTCCACGCAAAAATAATGGAGTGGATTGCCATTTCCTTCTTCAAGGGATCTTCCCGACCTAGGGATCGAACCCGTGTGTCCTGCATTAGCAGGCAGATTCTTTACCACTGAACCACCAGGGAAGCCCCATCCTCACAGGTACCATGAGTTAAAGTCCACCCATCCCACAGATAATGTGCCTACAGTTGTGACCATCAGCCTCGCTGGGCCTTGCTCTGGAGCTGCATGCCCTGCTCTCCCCACATCTTCCTCAACCATGGGCAACTATTTTAGCCTTCAGCCGCCCAGTTCACCTTCCCCCCTAAGATTAACAGGCCAAGCTGTTAGAAGAAGAGAGGTCTCTCTTCACTAGCCCCTGAAACGTGTATATTTGCTTAGATCTTACCTTTCAACTCCTCATTTGCACAGAACTCCTTAGCAATGCATTCTTTCTCATGGTTTTCTCATGATGTTCTCGTCACTTCCAAATCTATCTAGCTTTGAGTATCTCTTTTAAAAGCCTTTTCTTATTCTGAGCCTTGCCCCTCTTAAAAAAACATTTCTGGATATGTTCCTCTCTTGTTATAGCTTCTAATAATAATAATTAAAAAAAAACCTCACAGTATCAGCTCTAATTTCTCAATTGCACTCATTATTTCCCTTTCTTTAAAATGAACTTTGTATTGACAAAGGTGGATACCTGTAACATTTTTTTTTTTCCCACTCAGTCTATTTTTTGGAGATTCACCCAGGTCATTGGCTATATAGTCTTTTCCCTTTCTTTTTGCTGAGTAGTATTCCATGAGATACTTTGTACCACAATTTATTTGACTAATAATCACCCACTGACAGATACCTGGGTTGTTTCCAATTTTTGTCTCTTATGAATAAAATTTGTATAACATTTTTGTACAGGTTTCATTGTGAATACAGATTTTCATTTTTCTGGAAAAAGTGTCCAGTGGACAATTTCTGGGTCATATGGTAGTTGCATGTATAGTTTTTTAAAGAAATAGCCCAACTATTTCTCAGACTGGTTGTATCATTTTACATTTCCACCATCACTGTATGAGTGATCCGTTTCACCATATCCTTACTAGCATTTGGTTTTGTCCCTATTTTTTACTTCACCCATTTTGATAGGTATGTACTGATATCTCACTGTAGTTTTAATCTGCTGATGATGTTCAACATACGTTTTGTGTTTGTGCTGATGATATTCAACATATGTTTCTATATCCTTATATATTTGCCCACTTTTTGCTTGGATTATTTGTGTTTTTACTGTTGAATTTTGGGAGTTCTTTATATATTCCATTCCTTGTTCTTTGTCAGATATGAGGTGTGCAAACATTTTCCAAGAATGTCTTTCATCTTCTTAACAGGATCTTTTACAGAGCAAACATTTTAAGATCAGTAAAATCCAGTTTATCAAGTTTTCCTTCATGGATTATGCTTTTGATTTCATCTAGAACTCTTTTTCTAGACCTTTAAGGTTTTCTCCTGTGAGTTTTCTAAGTTTCATAGTTATAGGTTTTGTATTTAAGTTTACACTCTATTTTGAGTTAATTTTTCTATCAGGAATGAGGTTTACAGGGATAGCTTCTCCTTTCCTTCATTCATTTGTTCCTTCTTTTATCCCTCCTTCTTCTTTTCTCTCTTCTTTCTTTCATCTTGGTCATGGATGTCCAACTGTTTTGGCACTATTTGTTGAAAATACTATTTTTCTTCCATTTAATTGTTTTTGTATCTTAGCTAAAAAGCAACTAGATATTTTCCTCTGGATCTATGTCAAGGTTCTCTGTTTTGGTCCATTAATCTATTTACTCCTCTGCCAATACCAAACAGATTACTTTAACTATGTAAGTTTTGAAATCAGGAAGTTTTTATTTCTCCTGCTTTATTCTTCTTTCTCATAATTGTCTTAGCTATTCTAGATCTTTTGCTTTGCTATATAAATTTTAAGATAATCTTGTCTATAACTATAAAATGTCTCGCTGGAGTTTCAATAAAATTGTGTTAAATCTATATATCAGTTTGAGGAGTATTGAAGAGGAGTACGCACTTTCATTTATTTAGCTTGTTGTATTTTTCAACATTGTATAGTTTTAGCATACAAGTCTTGTAGATGTTTTGTTAGATTTCTTTTCATTTTTTTATTATTTTTTATTGAAGGATAATTGCTGTACAGAATTTTGCTGTTTTCTGTTAAACCTCAACATGAATCAGCCACAGGTACTCATATACACCCTCCCTTCTGAACCTCCCTCCCATCTCCTGCCCCATCCCACCCCTCTAGATTGATACAGACTCCCTGTTTGAGTTTCCTGAGCCACACAGCAAATCCCCGTCGGCTATCTATTTTACATATGGTGATGTAAGTTTCCATGTTACTCTTTCCACACATCTCACCCCTCTCCTCCCCTCTCCCCATGTCCATAAGTCGATCCTCTATGTCTGTTTCTCCACTGCTGCCCTATAAATAAATTCTTCAGTACTGTTTTTCTTGATTCCGTATATATGCATTAGAATACAATATTTATCTTTGCCTGACTCACTTCACTCTGTGTAATAGGTTCTAGGTTCACCCACCTCATTACAACTGATTCAAATATGTTCCTTTAATGGCTGAGTAATATTCCATTGTGTATATGTACTACAACTTCTTTATCCATTCATCTGTTGATGGACGTCTAGGTTGCTTCCATGTTCTAGCTATTGTAAATAGTGCTGCAATGAACAATGGGATACATGTGTCTTTTTCAATTTTGGTTCCCTCAGGGTATATACCTAGGAGTGGGATTGCTGGGTCATATTCTTAATGGTGAAAAACTGAAAGCATTCCCCCTATGATCAGGAACAAGACAAGGGTGTCCACTTTCCCCAGAATTATTCAGCATAGTTCTGGAAGTCCTAGCTATGGCAATCAGAGAAGAAAAAGAAATAAAAGGAATCCAGATTGAAAAAGAAGAAGTAAAGCTCTCACTGTTTGCAAATGACATGATACTGTACATAGAAAACCCTAAAGATACTATCAGAAAATTACTAAAGCTAATCACTGAATTTAGCAAAGTTAAACCACTGCAATGATGTAAAGTAATTAGCCTCCAACTAATAAAAATAAATGAAAAAAAAAAGAAAGTAAAAAAAAATCAATACACAGAAATCATTGCATTTCTTTATACTAACAATGAAAAATCAGAAAGAGAAATTAAGGAATCAATTCCATTCACCATTGTAACAAAAAGAATTAAAAATCTAGGAATAAAATTACCTAAGGATACAAAAGAACTGTACACAGAAAATTATAAGACACTAATGAAAGAAATCAAAGCCAACATAAACAGATGGAGAGATATTTCATGTTCCTGGGTAGGAAGAATCAATATTGTGAAAATGACTATACTACCAAATACAGTCTACAGATTCAATGTGATCCCTATCATTTCATTTTTTTAAAAGTCAGATTTATTGGGGTGTATCATTTTTTAAAAATTAATTTTTTTTTTCCCTGTGCTGCTCAGCTTTCTTCGCTGTGCAAGGGGCTTTCTCTAGCTGTCACAAGTGGGGGCTGCTTTTCATTGTGGTGTGCAGGCTTCTCATTGCAGTGGCTTTTCTCTTTTTGGGTCGAACAGGCTCTAGGCTCAGACTTCAGTCCTTGCAGCACATGGACTCAGTAGTTGTGGCACATGGGCTTAGTTGCCCCATGGCATGCAGAATCCTCCTGGACGAGGATCAAACCCATGTCCCCTGCACTGGCAGGCAGGTTCTCAACCACTGGACTACCAGGAAAGACCGAATTTCATTTTTCAGCTACTGTAAATGTTTATTGTTAACATACAGAAGTACGCTTGATATTTGTACGTTTGTTTTACTCTGTGACCTTGCTAAATTCACTTACATCATTTTAGGACTTTTATTTTGGAGATTCCTAGGGCTTTTCTACAGAGGCAGTCATATCATATGCAAATAATTAACTTCCTTTCCAATCTGTGTATCTTTATATTTGCTTTTCTCACCTTACTACACTGACTAGACCTTCAGGTCCTGTGTTGAATAAGAATGGTAAAGGCAGAACTCTGTGTTGTTCCTAGTCTTTGGAGAAAATCATTCAGTCTTTTACCATTAAATATAATGTTAGTTGTATAGTTATAGTGTTTGGGTGTTGGTTTTTTTTTTAAGATGCTCTTTATCAAACTGAGAAAATTCCTTTTTTCCTGTATCTCTGAGAATTTTTTATCATGAATATATTGTCATATTTTGTCCATTACTTTTTTCATCAATGGTATGATCATGTGATCTTCTTTTTCTGTTTTTTTTTTTTTTTTTTCTGGAGGTGGGGAGGGGAGGGGAGTAAGAAGTGGATTTATTCAGAAAGGAACACACTTCATAGACAGAGTGTGGGCTGTCTTGGAAGGTAAGATGCCATGATCTTTCTTCTTTAGTCTATTACTCTAATGATTATATAGATGGATTTTTAAATATTAAATCAGTCTTGCATCATTGGTCCCATCTGGTGATGAAAATTCTTTTTATATATTCTTATATTATATTTGCTAATATTTTGTTAAAACCTTTTGTGACTATATTTATCAGGGATATTAGTCTATAGTTTATTTTTATCTTTAATTTTTGGTACTCTCTGTCTCACTTTGGTTATCAGGGTAATTGTAGACCCATATAATAAATTGGTAAGTGTTCCTTCTTCTGTTTTTTGGAGGAAATTGTGTAGAATTGGTGTAAATTTTCTTTAAACATGTGGTTGAATTCTCCAACAAAGCCTACTAAGCCTGGAGATTTCTTTTTTCCAGAGGGAGGTTAAGTTACAAATTCACTTATTAATAGTTTCAAGATCACTCAAATTATTTATTTCATATTGGGTGAATTGGATAAATTTGTATTTTTGGAGGAAATTTATCTAATGTCAATTTTTTTCTAATGTCAGGTTTTTTTTCTTTTTGGCTCTTCTTATTCTAGATTCTTGACATGGGAGCACAGATTATTGATTTGAAGTTTTTCCCTTTTCTAATTAAATATTTAGTGCTATATATTCCCCTCTTATTACTGCTTTCATTGGATCATCAAAAAAGCAAGGAAGTTCTAGAAAAACATCTACTTCTGCTTTATTGACTACACCAAAGCCTTTGACTGTGTGGATCACAACAAACTGTGGAAAATTATTAAACATATGGGAATACCAGACCACCCAACCTGCTTCCTAAAAAGTCATATGCAGGTCAAGAAGCAACAGAACTGGACATGGAACAACAGACTGGTTCCAAACTGGGAAAGGAGTACATCAAGGCTGTATATTGTCACCCTGCTTATTTAACTTCTATGCAGAGTACATCATGCAAAATGCCAGGCTGGATGAATCATAAGCTGGAAAGATTTCTATATCAACAAGCTCAGATATGCAGATTATACCACTCTAACAGCAGAAAGTGAAGAGGAACTAAAGAGCCTCTTGATGAAGGTGAAAGAACAGAGTGAAAAAGCTGGCTTGAAACTCAACATTAAAAAAANATTGTCTTTCATCATTGAATATGATGTTAGCTGTAATTTTTAAAGGTATGTGTTATTGTGTTCCATAAATTTTAATATTTTATATTTTAATTTTAATTCAGTTCAGTATATTTTTAAAAACTTTCCTTTGAGATTTCTTCTTAATCCATGTTTTTTTTTTCCACAGAAAGTGGTTTATTGCTTAATCCATGGGGTTTTTGTGGATTATATATGTGTATTTTGTAGTTTCTAAGTGCTTGGATTTGTTATCTTTCTTTATTTCTAGTTTGCATCCATTGTGGTCAGAAAACACATTTTATATAATGTCAGTTCCTTTAAATTTTTTGAGATTTGTTCTGTGGCTCAGGATATGAGTGCTTCCAAACAGTGTATTTTCTGCTATTGTTGAGTGGAGTGTTCTATAAATGTTGAGCCCTCTTGTTAATCACATTATTGAGTTCTATATCCTTGCTGATATTTGGTCTAATAGTTTTATTACTTGTTGGAAGAGGAACGTTAAAGTCTCCAACCATATTTTTGGATTTGTCTATTGCTCCTTCCAGTTCTATCAGTTTTTGCTTCACACATTTTGCACCTTTTTTGGTGTATATGGTACAAATATATATATATATATATATGTGTGTGTGTGTGTGTGTGTATTTTAAAGATTGCTATGTCTTAGTGAACTGACCCTTTTATCATCATAAAACACCTCTTGCTGTTTCTGCTAATTTTGCTTTCCTTGAAGCATAATTTATCCTTAATTAATATAGCTAGTGGGGAAGGAAATGGCAACCCACACCAGTATTCTTGCCTAGAGAATCCTGTGGACAGAGGAGCCTGATGGGCTGCTGTCCATAGGGTCACATAGAGTCGGAGACGCCTGAAGCGACTTAGCATGCATGCATGCGTTGGAGAAGGAAATGGCAACCCGCTCCAGTGTTCTTCCTGGAGAATCCCAGGGACGGGGGAGCCTGGCGGGCTGCCGTCTATGGGGTCGCACAGAGTCGGACACGACGGAAGCGACTTAGCAGCAGCAGCAGTATTTTCCCTAGTGTTTCTTTAGCCCTGTGTTTCTTTAGTGTTTATATAACTGCACTCTTTTACTTTCAATCCGCTATACTGCTGTGTTTGAGGTTAGTTTCTCATAGGAAGAATAAAGTGAGTCATGTTTTAAGATCCAGTCAATCTGCATTTTACTTGCTATATTTAGACCCATTCACATTTATTGATATGTTAAGTGTTTAAATCATTTTTTGTTTGCCATTTATTCTGTTTTGTTTGTTTGTTTATTTCTGTTTTCTTTTTTCTGCCTTTCCATGGGTTATTTGAGAATTCTTAGAATTCCATTTTATCTATATTATTTTCAAGTGGATAGCTTTGTATAACTACTTTTCATTTGTAGCTTTAGCTATTATATGGATATAACTTTTCCTGTTTACTGTTGACATTTTACCAGTTCAAGTTGAGTGAAGAAACCTTAACTCCTCTTTATGTCTGTGTGTGTGTGTGTGTGTGTGTGTGTGTGTCTGTGGGCTGAGTCACTCAGTCAGGTCCTACTCTGCGACCTCATAGACTGTAGCCCGCCAGGCTCCTCTGTCCGTGGAATTCTCCAGGCAAGAATACTGGAGTGGGTAGCCATTCCCTTCTCCAGGGGATCTTCCTGACCTGGGCCAGGTCCCCAAACCTGGGTCTCCTGCATTGCAGGTGGATTCTTTACCATCTGAGCACCAGGGAAGTGCTTATGTCTCTTTACTGTCCCTCATTTAAAATTATCTTAAATATTTTCTCTGCATATATTTAGAGCCAAATCAAATAGTATTACAATACTGCTTCAATCATCAAACAACTTTGAAAACTAGAAAGGAGGAAAAATATATTTTTACATTGAAATACGGCTGATTTACAATGTTGTGTTAGCTTCCGGTAGACAGCAAAGTGATTCAGCTATACACACACACACACACACACACACACACACACACACGCATATTATTGTTTTACATTCTTTTCCATTATAGGTTATTACTAGGCTATTCAGTTGTTGGTTATATATTTTACATATAGTAGTGTGTATACTTTAATCTCAAATTTCTAATTTATTCCTCAGCCCCTTCCCCTCTCATAACTCTAAATGTGGGTCTGTTTCTGTTCTGTTTTGTAAACGGGGCTTCCCAGGTAGCTCAGTGGTAAAGAATTCGCCTGCCAATGCAGGAGATGAGGTTCAATTCCAGAATCAGGAAGACCCCCTGGAGGAGAGAATGGCAACCCACTCTAGTATCCTTCCCTGGAAAATTCCATGGACAGAGGAGCCTGGTGGGCTTCAGTCCAGAGGGTCGCAAAGAGTTGGACATGACTGAGCAGCTAGCACTCAAGGAGAAGGGCAGAGGAACTGAATTTCTGCCAGACTAGCAGAAGAGGGACCTATAAAAACAAAGTTGTAGAACAGAAAAATGAATGGGGTGATATTGCTTGCACAGACTTCAAGTCTTATGTTCTATTTTCACGCTTTCCTAAATACGCTTCCGCTTCACTTTCCAACATCCTACTTCCATCAGAATCACTGCCATCATTCCTGGTTCTCCAGGTGGAACCTCAGGGATTTTTGACTTTTCTTTTCTCCCCTCCATTTTATCCACGTACCATTATTTCTTCATATGAAATAGTTTGTGCTTCCACCTCCTTTATTTACCACACCGCCATTGTCTGAATGTCTTGCTTAGACATTAGAGAGCAACAGTATCTCTATTTCCCCTTGCAGAATTCCCTATGTCCTTCCTTTGACTTAAAACTAGTCATGACTTTCTGTTGCCTTCCGTAATGAACACAAACCTCTTTGCTTATTCCTTCACAGGGTGCTTTTACTCTTCCTACTTAACCTTAATTTTTCTCATCCCCTGAACCACAGTGAATCTGTTGTCTCCCTTTCTTCCACCTAAGTCCATCCTCTTTCTAATCTGCTGCCTTTGTTCATTTTTCCATTACACTCAAATACATAGAAATCCTGGCATACTTTCCCTTCTTCATTCTGAATATTAACTTCCATTCTACCTTTAAATCCAACTTTATAATGATTACCTCCATGAATACGCTTACTCAGTCTACTATAGTTAAACTGAAATTCTCTTCTTTGTGAAATTCTTTTATACTCACATCTGCTTGATACAATTTACCTCTTAACTATTCTCCATATAAGATTTTTTTTTTTTTTTTACCAATGTAAGTGCCTTCTAAATGCCTGGTACTGTTTTGGAAGCATGGGTTATAATAACAGAAATATTTACCCATGATTAAGCACTAACTTTAAACAATCTGAATGGGCATCTGGTCAACCATCCAATTCTCTGTATATGTGCATATAACTGAATATCATCCCTGGATGAGGATCCCTATATTGACCCCACCCCCCATCCTCTACCCTATCTGAGCCACACCTACCTAAAAACAAAAAAGCGATTTCCATGAGAGAGAACACTGCATCAGCAGTCCAAGCCCAACTGCAGTCTAACTTAGGCTTATCAGGTTATCTATTGCTGTGTAATAAAATATCCCCAAACTCAAAAATAAACACAACCAATTTTCCTAATAGATTTCGTGGGTCTGATTTTCACACACTCACCTCAGCAAAGATGGCTTATCTTTGCTCCTTGATGTCAGAGGCCTCAGCTAAAAAGATCTAACCAGTTGGAGGAACTAGGATGGCTCAGTGTTTGAATCAGCCTTCTTCATGTTCATGTCTTGTGTCTGGGCTGGTATGATTTGAATGGCTAGAGGCTCCTGGTCTCTTGTTTTCTCTCTCTCTTTCACAAACACAAACATCCCTACATCTCTCTCCCTGTGGCCTTTCCAACATGTGGCCCCTCCAACATGTGGCCCCTCCAACATGTGGCCCCAAGGTAGTCAGCTTCTTAAACCATAACTCAGGATCCAAGAGAGAATGTTCCAGCCAACAAAGCAGAAGGTATGTAGTTTTTTATGACCTAGTTGTAAAAATCACAGTGCATTACTTCTACCATATTCTGTTCATCAAAACAATCACAGATGCTCTCAGATTCAAGGGGAGGGACCATAGACCCCAATTCTTAATGGAAAAATTGCCAAGGAATTTGAAGCCATGTTTTAAGACCATGACACAAAGCCAATCTATTTCCCTCTTCCCTGATTCCATCCATCTAAGTATGATCTGTCTAGGCTCTGGGGAAACATAACTGCTAAAGTGCTTAAAGTATCAGTTATTTCTACCATGGGATCTTTCTACAATTTGCCTTTTATATCCTCATGATCTAGCATGATCTCCTGGATACAAGTTTGCTTGTCACAAAATTTTTCTTCTCCATCCATTTAATTACCCTCTTCTCCCACTTCTGTCTTCTCTTGGCCATGCTTCCTACCCTTTCCTCCTTTTTGGAGAGACAATTCTTTCCAAAAGAAACTTCTGTACCCTCAACCTTCTTTTACCAGAAGTTGTTGACAACTTCCCAGTAAAATATTTCGCTCACTTTTTTCCCCAGTAGAAGCCATTTCTTCTACCTCACTATCCTAACTGATCAGAAAAGGGATAGACACTCTCCCAGATCCCCACTGCTTCTTAACATTGCTCTCCCACTTAGCCATGTAAGTCTCTTTGGAGAATT